AAAAATCACTCCAAGGCTACATACCTGGTCCTTCAGGGGCACAGTTACCCCATACAGGACCCTATCCCCAGAATCAGTACTTCTGATTCAGTACAATTGTCTTGTTGGGATTCAGCCTCAATCCATTAAACACCATATTTCCTCCAATCGCCTCCAGGCACTCACACAGGACATTCACCGCCCTCACTGGTTCTAATTTAAATGAGAGGTAGAGCTGGATATCATCTGCATATTGGTGAGCACCAGGCCCAACCCTGATGATTTCCCCAGCAGCTTCATTGAGATGTTGAAAAGCATGGGGGGAGAGGACGGAGCCCTGAGGCACCCCACAGGTGAGCACCCAGGAGTCCGAACTGAAGAGGTTGAGCAAGTACCTGATGAGCCAGACTGTTGTGAGCTTGCTACTAGCATGTTGTTCACCAGGAAGAGGAACTCTGGCTAATATCCCATAGTCTGAATAACCGTGGTTGCTTTTCACTGTTGAGTACTAATGAATTTGTGGGAGGCCCTAGTGAGGAAGATAGGATAAACATGCATAGGTACATACTTATTGCATACATACCAATAAATAAAATGTTCTGATGAAGGAACAAGCAACATGTTTGGCTCTCTGAACACCATTTTGCAAGCATATCATATGGGTTAGCTTCCAGGTGTAATCACAAGCACAATATGCAAATAATATGCACGCAGTTTTCATGTGCATGAAATGGTGAGCGCATTGGCTGAATCAACAACTTCCCTTTTTCAAGAAACTACCCACCCCACATCTCATGTTTATCATTTCCCTCTTCTCTAAGAAATCAACCAGTCTTCAGAGAGAAGATCAAAGGAATGCTAGACTCCAAGCTAGAGTGCAGTGTCTTTCAAAAACCCATCATTTTCCGGACTTGGTGCCTTTTTGAGTATTTTCGGTTGTACGCTGCGGCGTTCCAGGTAATGGTATGTGTTACTTCTGGGTTTCGCTGCTCGCGCATGCACAGACTGTCAAATGACATCATGTGCATGCGCAGAAGCAGCAAATTGCAACCTGCGCGACATGCAGACGCGCGTGGCGCGGTTGCATTCGGCTTCAGGATGCGAACAGGGCTCTGGAACAGATCCTGTTCGCATCCAGAGGTACCACTGTAGATTATTTGTATGACAGCTCCTATCAGCCCCAGCTATGCAATACTGATGGTCAGGGATGATTGGAGTTGTCGACCAGCTATGTAGAGGGGCACCAGGTTGGGAAAGGCTGATTTAGCGGATACACAACTATATAGCTGGAGTGACAACATATCTTTTATCTGGCTGGCTCACTGGCTTCCTGTTCTTGCCTTTGCTGTTTGGCCTCTGGGCGTTGTCACCTCCCGCTGCTTCCATGTGGCTCCACTTTGCCACCGTGGCTTCTCTGCCCTGCAGTGCCGGATTACCAAATAGGCAGAGTAGGCACTGGCCTATAGGCCCCACGCCATGTTGGGGCTCTGCAACAACAGACCAAAATAATATTGATTTGAGCTTGCACGAAAATTACAATCAAGCTTTCTTAGTTCAATGTTATCCCACTATAGCTCGTGTTCAGGAAACCTCCAGATACAAAGCTTACAAAAATGTATTAGGAGATAGTTGCCAGGGGAACCCTGAGATTTTTACTACCTAAGGGGCCTCCACAGCGTTTGATTTGGCACTGCTGCCCAGTAGCCTGTAGCTGAAACAATTCCTTGGGATCATACTATTGTTTGGTCCTCTTTGTTCCAACTGCGACTTGACCTGGCTTGAAAAGCCAAGTAGTCTTGTTGAACTAGTTTAACTGGTTTGTTGGGCTGGTTTCTCCAAGAATTCTACAGGAGGTCATTTAATTCCCATCGCCTTGTAGGGCTGCCACTCCTCTTGGCTAAATGCTCCTATTTCTTTAATCAGGTATTGCATCAGGCTGTGTTCTTGTCCCTCTCACCATGAGATATTAGGGTTAGGACTGGCTCTGGTGCAACATTAGACAGGAAAAGAAGGAATAGAATTTGGGGTGGATAAAGGCAAATATGCTGAAGCTTAACTGGAGTCAAGACAGAGGTGTCATAGGTAGGGAAGTTTGCCAGTCTGGGTGGAGGTTTGCAGTCAGTCTTGGATGGATTGCAGGACCAAGTTTGCAATTGATTGACTGAGTGTTGTCTGTGGTGGAATCTACACACCTATAAAAACGCTGTGAAAATGCTTTTTCAAAAATACAATGAATTTTGCATAGCTCACTGTGTGCCATCTAGTCTCTCATTTGTATATTGCACTTTACAAGACAATTAAAACATTTTATTTGCCGTGTAGGTGTGAGCCCTGTGAAAATCCATGAAGTGGCAGTAGCTTGAGGTAGCAAGTGTTTAGCAGCCTGGACTGTGCATTTCAAGCTGCAGACTATCTGGTTCCCTGAACATTTAAGGATATTTACACAGTTCGGGAACTACTACCAGGGCAGCAAATAGCAAAATAAGCGGGAGTTGGTTCCTCACCCCTGGCCTAAGTGCACAGGAATAATTCTGCCACTCTCCTCGTCCCAAGTCTTCTTCCGCGGGGCGTCCCCCGCCGGCTTTCCGTCCTGTGGAGCTTACACTTCCTGGCCCGCAGGCCTGGGAGCCGCGCAGCTCGGATTTTCTCTGGAGCTGGCCTGAGGGGCTTGGCAGAGTGGTTTGCATTGCTGCAGCTTCTCCTGCTTTCTCCAGTACTTGTCTAATGTTGGTTGGACTTCAGTGTCTTCTGCAGTCCCATGGCCTGCAATCCTGGAGGAGTAATGATTAAAAATACATCCATTTCATAGACTACAGTTAAATGACAAGAACTCAAGGGCATCCAGGTGCTGGCCAAAGACGGCTGTGGAGCAGATTCACCAATTGTCCCACATTCCAACAACCCTATTCCTGGGGCAGATCCATGGGCATAGCGTGGGGCTGGGGGCCCCGGCCTCCGGCCTCATGCAATTTTTTGTGGGTTCTCAGCCAGAGCGCCCCCGGCACACAGGCTGGAGCTGTGGCAGGAGAGGACGCCATGGACAGGCT